GGGGTCTGCTGATAGTCCAGCTGTGTCCCATCCATAGTCACCAGGGAATTCACCAGTAAGGTAGCTTGGGGACTCACCGGAGAATGGTCCCAAATACTTAACACGGTCCGGGCCATACCAAGGACTGCCAGAAGAAATTGACTTTCTCACAGCCTTCCTCATGGACACCCTCCCATTGCCAGTGATCTCAGGGGCAGATGGTGAAAGCTTCACTGCCTTACCAGCGAAAGATGGAGAAGAAAGAGCCATTGTAGAGGCAGCCATGGGTTAAGAGAAGTTAACTGCTGATTGACGGTTGTGCTGAAAGGTGTTGAGTGCTCAATGTCCAGAGGTAGGTATGATTATTTATAGAAGGAAAAGGCAATTTTTCTTATCTTCATGATATCTATATCTCTTCTTTGATTGGATCTCATAATTTTTTAGTTGTTGCATCTTGTCCACTTGGAAATCTCTAGTCCATCAGTTTCTTTTAATTTTATCTGTGGCTCCAAACTAATTAAGGTGGTTTGTCATGCCTTCGATATTCTTAATATTGACAACAAAATGTATCCTAACAGTGAGATTTTTTACCTGAGAATCAAATGTGTGTAAAATATTTTCATTGGAGCATCAGAATGGGGTACTTAAGTTATCTAAATACTTTGATTAATACTGTCAATTTGTCCCTTAGCCTTTTTACTATTTTCATTGCCCAATGGGTACGATCCGAGTTAAGCTATGAATGTAAAACGTGTTTCATTTGTTGAGTAGGATGTTAAGAGCTTATAATGATGGTATGCGTTTGATTTAACAAACAACTTACATTTTTTCAAAATGTGATGAAAAATGTTGTAAAGAAAGAATTCATGCTTTAATGAATACTTCGAAGATTCCAAGTGTCGAAGTAATGAACACCTGATTCTTGAACATCTAACCCACTTCTGGACTTAAAATAACTAGGTTCACCTTATACTGGAAAACATATTTTCTTGAGTTTAGTGGATAACATATAAATTATTCTTCATGAAGATAGTGAACAAATCCAATGGTACAAATGGCTGTCCCGGATTGGCCAAAAGAAACTATGTCCACGTCAGGTTAGATTTTGCTACATATTGTATCCAAAAAAAAAATCCAACATAACTGGTGGTGCTGGACGTTGCCAAATGGATATGCTATCAAAAATATCATACACCAATGAAAATACAGTTACTGATATCAATAGATAAGGACCGTGTTGAGTGCTGTCATCCCCAATTCATATAAATACCTTAATATGCACTGGCCATGTAACTCAAGCTACAAACAACTTGCAACTCATTCCCAAACAAAGTGAAGTATTAACTAGAATGGCAGCCTCCACTATGGCTCTTTCTTCTCCATCTTTCGCTGGTAAGGCAGTGAAGCTCTCACCATCTGCCCCTGAGATCACTGGCAATGGGAGGGTATCGATGAGGAAGGCTGTGAGCAAGTCAGTTTCTTCAGGCAGTCCTTGGTATGGCCCGGACCGCGTTAAGTATTTGGGACCATTCTCCGGTGAGCCCCCAAGCTACCTCACTGGTGAATTCCCTGGTGACTATGGTTGGGACACTGCTGGACTCTCAGCTGATCCCGAGACATTCGCCAAGAACCGTGAACTTGAAGTGATCCACTGCAGATGGGCCATGCTTGGAGCTCTTGGATGTGTTTTCCCTGAGCTATTGGCTCGCAACGGTGTCAAGTTCGGTGAGGCCGTGTGGTTCAAGGCTGGAGCACAAATCTTCAGTGAGGGTGGACTCGACTACTTGGGCAACCCGAGCTTGATCCACGCTCAGAGCATTTTGGCCATCTGGGCTTGCCAAGTGATCTTGATGGGAGCTGTTGAGGGTTACCGTGTCGCCGGCGGACCACTAGGTGAGGTAGTCGACCCACTTTACCCAGGTGGAAGCTTCGACCCCTTGGGTCTTGCCGATGATCCTGAGGCTTTTGCAGAGCTCAAGGTGAAGGAGATCAAAAACGGTAGACTAGCCATGTTCTCCATGTTTGGATTCTTCGTCCAGGCAATTGTAACCGGAAAGGGTCCATTGGAAAACCTTGCTGACCACCTTGCAGATCCCGTCAACAACAACGCATGGTCCTACGCCACAAACTTTGTCCCTGGAAAGTGAATTTGACAGAAAGTTTATCATACTCCTATTGTTTAAAATTATCATAAATTAATGGAACTGGCTGTGAATTTTGTGCGGTTCTAGTCCTTACAAATGTGTTTAAAATGTTAGTTTTATGCAGGCAAACTTCATTTATATTTTATCAGAACAATATGCGTGTATCCAGTAGTAGCCACAAGGTAGGGCAACAAACTTACATGGAACAGCGTTGGGTCCTTCCGTTTGTTTTCAATTCTTGTTGGGTATAACTACATAAAGCTAAAATTCTGGTGGAGGTGTAAAAGTGCACAGTGCACCGGTCCATTTTATATTCGGCTTGACTAAACTCAGAGCAGATCGAGCCACGAGTTGGTCTGCCTTAAAGACAGGCTGCATTTCCCCAAAAGTTTAGGCATTTCTGCATCTTTAGACTTACGGCAAAAGGATGAAGAGAACCTAGGGTCTCTCTAAAGGAGTAAGTTCTTTATTTACGAAATTTTATTGAAAGAAATGAACTAAGAAAGCTTTACAAAATAGGGTGTGATAGCTGGACGCTCTCACTAGACACCAGTCTTCCACAGCAACAAAATGTTAGACAAGCATTGCAGTACTGGATAGCGTATATGCAACCGATATTGTATATGTAAGAGTTACCGTATATGCACCAATTACCGTATATGTAAGAGTTACCGTATATGCAACAATAGCCGTATATGAAAGTGTTGTCGTATTTACAGCTTAGATACTGTATATGCAGAATGGACACAAATTTTACACACTTGATACCGGATTTGTAGTTTAAATACCGTATATGCTTAACCACCGTATTTACACATACCTTTTTTTTGCATATTATAACATATTAAATTATATATATAACAAATCCAATGATTTGTTAATTACAGTAAGAAATAACATGCAAAAAAAAAAAAAAATTAAATAGTAATAAACTTTTAACCTGAGGTCCACAGTTTCCTTAAAATAGATTCGCTTCCTCACCGTACGTGATTGAGGTATAATTTGAACGTCTACTTCCCATGATATAACGGTAGAACAATAGAATTTGAGCACCATACATTTTACTCCGGCGAATTGAGTTAGTGCCTGAACAATATCACCACAAAGATTGAAACAGAAACTAAAAATGAAGGCAAACTCGAACTGTATGCAGATGAATTTTCAGATGAAATTCGTGTGTTGAAAATTAAAAAAATCGAGATATATATAAGACTTGGATATTGTAACTTGTCATTCATATCATGGCAATTACCACAAGAGTTTTAACAGTTTCAGAAAATGAAAAGTCAATTGAAAAATAAAAATGTAGCAAAACAAAGTCCACAAAGTTGATCACCAAAAATAATCCCAAATGAAGAGGGAGTAATACAAAAGTTGGATTATGCCTAAGTAAACATGAATGTTCATAGGGACAATCAATCAAACACCATGCACACACACAAAGTTATTCAATTTGATGTAAGAATGGGGGCCCAAATCAACAAATCCATAACACAAACCATGGAATTATCTTCAAAAGGAGAAACCTATCAGCAAAAGTAACACATTCAACAAGAAAACAACAAAAATCATACCTTTTAGTCATTGGCTTGGATGAAGTGACAAGAGACCAATAAGCACAAAAGTTAAAACGAAGTCAAATGTAGTGTGTTGGAGGGAGGGGGGGTTGTGTGGTAGAGAAAAACAAGTTGAAGAAAAAAAAATGAAGTGGGAAATAGGGTGGGGGAGTAGAAGGAAGAAGAGAGAGAGGGAAACTTGGAGGGGAAAATTAGGGAGTTGGGGGGTTTTTTTTTTTTTTTTTTTTTTAAAGAAAGGGCGTTGCCTTTCTGAAAAAAAATTGCAAATTTTTTTTTTTCGCGTGCAGTAGCGCCGGGCACTGCGTTGCTATAAAAAAAATGATTTACTTTTTTAAAATACCGTTACATCAATTTTACCACTCATGTTGTTAGTATCCCCTCCCACTTGATGATTTGGTCTACATTCACCATCCTCATTTGTTTGCACCCCCAAACGTGAGCACGTCTTACAATTCAACGAGAGTATTATAAAGAAGACAATCATGATAAATAATGACTGAACGAACTTAAAAATTAAAGACTAAGTAATGAAAAAGTGTAGAGCTTAGATTGTCTCCCAATTAGCGATTCTTTACAGTCATTAGCTGGCCTTCATGACGTAATTATTCTGGAACAGATAGGTCAATGTTTTCTTTAGCGGTGGGAAAGTCCTCAACATAGTGCTTTATGCATTGTCCATTAACCTTGAAATTGCCTTTTGTCGGGTGATACAATTCAACTGTACCGTAGAGAAACACCTAGGATACCGTGAATGGTCCGGACCATCGAGATTTCAGTTTTCCTGGGAACAGCTTAAGTCTGGAATTGTACAAGAGTACTTGATCCCCTACGTGGAAAATACGTTGTTGAATGTTTTTGTCATGTCAATGCTTCGTCATTTCTTTGTAAATAGATGCATTTTCATAAGCTTTTCGCCTAAACTCTTCCAATTCGTGAAGCTGCAGTATTCTTGTTTCTCCAGCTTTTCCAAGGTCCATATTCAACTGCTTCAATTAAGCTTCTTGTCTGAATTCTTCCAATTCGTAAAGCTGTAATATTCTTCTTTCTCGGGCCTTTACTAAGTCCAGGTTGAACTGCTTCAATGCCCAGTATGCTTTGTGCTCAAATTCCACTGGTAGGTGGCAAGCCTTCCCAAAAACTATTCGGTATGGAGACATGCCAATAGGTGTATTGTAAGCGGTTTGATAGGCCCATAAAGCATCATCCAGTTTTTTAGACCAATCTTTTCGTGATGTATTGACCGTGAGCTCCAGAATCCTCTTCAACTGCCTGTTGGATGTTTTGACCTGCCCACTAGTCTAAGGGTGATAGGGTGTGGCTATTTGATGTTGCACTCCATACTTAGCTAAAATCCCCCGAAATAACTTATTACTGAAATAAGTTCCTCCATCACTGATGATGGCTCTTGGAGATCCATAGCGGTTGAAAGAGTGTTTCCTAATGAAATCCCCTACTACCCACGCATCATTGGTGGGTAATTCTTTGCTTCCACCCATTTGGAGACATAATCCATTGCCACTAGTATGTATCGATTGTTATAAGACAATGGAAAAGGTCCCATAAA